CTGAGGCCAGCACCTGTGCTTGCCCCAGCAGCCTTACCTAGGGTCCTGGGGGCCTCCTGGGGCAGCAGCGGTGCTGAGCTGGCCTTTTGGAGCCTGGCCAGCAGCCAGAGCATGGCTCTGCATAGTCAGGCTCTGTTTGTGGTGGCACACGCTGCTGCTGCATGCAACATGCCACTTTTTTAGCAGCAGGTTTTATTTTTACACCAGGATCTCTGGTGTGCCATACTGCAAATTAGCAGCATGGCAAACAGGTCTGGGGCACTGCAAACTTCACGTGCGTGCTTGTTGGTGTTGTGAATCAGAGCAGCCGCCGGCAGCTGCCTGACTCACACCGGAGTGTTTAGATTTAGAACTCGGCAGGCGGGTAATTGATGGATGGAGTGGAATTAACCAGGCACAGACACGTGTAGGTTACAGGAGTTTGTTTACTTACGTCGCCTAGATAGTGATGGACAACACAGGCGAGCCTTTGTTCCGTTACAGCTTCGGTTACAGAGTTGAGTACACGCATGCAGTCAGGTTACAACGGGATAATGACGGACGTGGCGCCGGAATGAACAGCTGGGCTTGCAAGACTTTCTACGTCAATATTTTACGCTGACGGGGTGATTGATTGGGGATTGATCAAGTCCCCAACTCTCTGGTGATAAGCACAGGTGTTTCCTGTGAGATCCCCAGAGTTCTCCGACTTGGGCGGAAACCGTTAAACTATTTATAGGCAGAGGTGTTTGACATAGACATCCAATGATGGGCCGTTATGTGGAATCTTTAATTTTTTGGCAAGCAGCAGCTCTTTGTCTCCTCAAGTTACAAGCTAGTGGGTTAGGTTTCTCTACCTGTTACGTGTGTGCTACGTGTGAGGAGCTTACGCTTATTTTTTGACCAATTATATATAGTTTCCCCTAGCATTTTATTTCAGCTGACCAATTATCTACAGTACTCTGGCAGCGTTTTGTTTCAAGGAATTTTTGGCAGGGATGTCTTTTAACCCTTAATCATCAAAATGAGGATGATTTGAATGGTATCTCTTGCTCAGTGGCATGGGCACAATTTAATTGGGTTGTGACAGTTGGGACATGCTCAGAGAGGTTATATGATATGACCATGGTCACACAGAAAAAAAGGGTTACATTAGTAACTCCACTCCAGATTCCTGACTCCCATTCACCCATTTTAGCCAATAGACCACACTCCATTTGTTATAATCATAGGCTACAAAATACAGCCTTTAAAACATCCATGTGTCTACCATAGTGGTGCTCAAACTTCTGGCTCCGTGGGCAGGTTGAGTGGCAGGGGCTCATCCACAGGTTGGATCCAGTGTGGGGTTGGTGCAAGGGGTTGGTCCATAAGTGTCACCAAGCATGCCATCATGTCCTGGATTCCACTGTGGTGCCACCCCATAGGTGGGCCCAGCTGCAAAACAACCCCACAAACCACACTCAACTCCACATAATAGATTTGGCGACAGAGCAACCCCATGTCCTGGCACAATCAGGTGCATGGGGTTACATCATCTGGCCCTCAGGGCTCCCCACAGGTCCAGAAATTTGGTGGCAGAAGAACAGTGGCAGCATTCATATTACAGGTCTGGAAACCACCACTCACCTGCTGCTAAATTTCTGGACCTGTGAGAGCCCCACAGGTCACATTCAGCTTGAAGGCCAGAGGTTGAGCACTACTAGTCTAGCATGAATAATGTTGATTTCTTTGTTGCACTAAGGGCGTGTAGATCTCATTTCTTTTCCAGGGCTAACCTTCAAGCAGTGTCATTTTTCCTTGCACTGTCTAGGAGCCAAAGATGCAACTAAGAAATAAGCCCGTGGAAGTAAGGAGAAGTGATATTAACTTTCAACTGTTGTATTCCAATGAATTCCCAGTTTTAGGTCAGGTTTTTGAGTCTCCCACACAGAATCCTGCAAACGCAGCTCACATTTAATCTCAATAATTCTGTTATGCTCTCTCACACCTTGTGTTCTCTCTCTCTGGTGAAAAAGCTTTATGGAATAATTCCATCTACTAGTTGGTTATAAGATACTAAGTAGGGCCTTTTAAAAACCTGCCAAAAGATTTTATTCAGTTCAGTAGCCAGGATCTTCAACATAAAAAGTCACTATAGAAACCCCTTTTAGATCTTGTCTATTATACAAGATCAAGTCAGTAGATGATGGAGACACCTGAACATGGAACTACAAACCAGGATCTATCCCAAACAGACAAATCTCCTCCAGGATTGACTTGGTAAATCATGCAGTTTTAGAATTACGTACTGTATATCTTGATCATATAAAATCAAATCACCTATGATAGTACTGGCCTGCTCAATGGTTCAAAATATCTGCCAGGGAAGGGAAGAGAGAGAGATATCAGTCACCTTTATACAGAGAGAGCTGAAGTCAGTGGAAAGCAGCAAGGGACAGAAAGAAAAGAGTGAAAAAGCATCAGAAGAAGAAAAGGTGGAGCTGACAATATATATTAAAAAGGCATAAATATCTACAAGACTTGTCATAAAAAAGCAGCACAGAACCCTTTGCTCTTTACACATAAAACAACTACTAACATAATAACAGCTCATGTGAGGAAACACGCAGCATGGCGAGTAAGGCCTGCACAAGGTAGTTCTAATTATTTGTGAAATGACAGTGGCGATTCAGAGACATTCAGCATAATTCCCCCTTGAGAAGCAGATCTACAACCATGTTGCTATCTGCTTCCTAGCATCATTAAAAAAAAAAAAGACAGAGCACTAACCTCGGGTTATGCCAGAATGTCATAAATCCATTTAAGGTCTGGAGTGCTAGCTTGAATCTACCAGTAAATGTCTGATCCAGTTAAAAGACACATAAAGACTGGAAGCTCCCTGCTGGCTGCATGACATAAGAGATACAAGTGCATACATTTTTTGTCTTTCTAGTTTTGCCACTCATTTAAATGGTTTAAGATCAACTTCCACAAACAATTTATCTATCGGTTCCAATGTCCAACATTGCCCAAGCCAGCTCACCTTGTGCAGCTCTGCCCCTATGAGTACAGAGATATGTAGGTTGAAGGCTAAGTAAGAGAAAAGGACAGTAAGATACACGCGAAAAAAATTTTTTGCATCCAAAGCTGAAATGCAGCACTCAGGTTTTGTATTTATGACACCTCTGGGGAACAATGGGCTAGCATATAAAAGCCTACTGGCAGTCACCCATCCTTTAAATTCTTTGTCTAGCTAATCTAAAACTGAATTTAAACTGCCATTTAAAAATGGTTTCAACTGCTTCAACACACCATTTCTAGGCCTTTAAAATCTGCAACATAAATCAGAGGAAAGGTTTTCTTTTGTTTTTTTGCCTTATCGGTAATCAAACACATACATTTATTTTCCTTACTTTTTGTGTACTCAACTCCAATGAGCATCAATAAAAATTTACACAAATCTAGAAAAAGCAATTAGTTCAGGGTGGACCAGATTCAGCCCCTATTAGAAATCAATAGAGATTTCCAATGGTTTCAAAGGTGATGAATTGGGCCCCTAATAGGGGACTCCTAATGAGTCTTGGCAAATCCTTAGGTTTGTAAATTAGAGCATATAGGTCAGCAGTGCTGACCTAGATAGGGTAGGCATTTGAGTACTCCTCAAATTAATCCCAGGAGGCTAAACTAGAGTAATCAGAAGGTAAATCACAATCAACAGGAAGGAACTGTGCAGTGCTTGTCATCTACTTTACAATGATCACACAGCAGCAGAGCAGACAAAACCTCTATTGAGATTTCAGCAACACTATGGATGTGAAGATCCTACTGGGAAACCTTGTGAATTCAAATTCATGACAGCTTCTTCATTCTGCTCCTACCAGTAACTGGCAATAGTCAGCTCTGTACTCTTGGAAACATTAAATGAGCTTGCAGATGTCTCTCCAGAATGTAAGTACCAGCACAAAGGAAAAAACCCCAATACATTTAAATACAGTCTATACAAGTTCTCAGAATAGTTAAGAACAAATTGAGAGATTCTATCAGCTGCACACATTACGCAACACTAAACCGCTTACACAAAAACACTCTTTTGGAAGATATCATTGCTTTAGCCATACAGTCTGGGAGATTTTTGTGCCTGCAAACTTTTATTTTGTTTTACACAGAGCTTTGTGGGCTAACTGTTCACCTCAGAGTTCACAGGTCACTTTATTCTGAGGCTCTTAAAGATGATGTCATGGAAAATCAACATTTGTAGCAATGCAAATAGGGTTAGGAAGTACTGGAGTTCAGCACTCATTTTAACAACTTCTGTAGACTGCCTCCCGCCTCTGCCTTCCTTCAATCAGGTAAAGTGGTGTGTACCGTTGATCACAGTACAGAAGTTTAGTAAATGTATTTTTACTGGGTAAAAATCTTTCAGACTGAAAATACAAAATACTGTAAAGAACTGAACTGAATTAGAAAGCTGAACTGCTCAGAGCGGGGGGTGGGGAGAATGGAATGAGAGGAGGTACATGCTGTGGTACTAAAACTAAATGATACCAACCCTAACAGAATAATCAAATGTAACACAGAGAAGGCCACATGCACCCCAGGCAGAATTAACTTGCGTAAGAGCGGAAAAGCCACTGGTTGGTTCCCATGTGGCTCTTCCATTAAAGCAGGGGCAGGCAGATATTTCAGGCAGAGGGTCACTTACTGAGTTTTGGCAAGCCATCAAGGGCCACATAACAGGCAGCCAGGGGCAGATAAATATTAATTTTCTATATTATTTAGGAGCCCCACGGGCCGGATAGAATGGCCTGGTGGGCCTCATCTGGCCCCTGGGCCACATTTTGCCCACCTCTACATTAAGGAGTAAGGTGTTCTCTCCTTTTGTTGTGGTGGTTGATTTTCCAAAACCTTTAGATATCCAGGAAGAGTGGGAATCTCTCAGTGTACTAGGCCATCTCAGTAATACAAGGCATTTTGCTCTACAATCCCATTTTATGACTACTCGTAAAGGAACCAGGATCCACTGAATTTCCCTTTAGCAAGTTCTCTCTAGGTTTTTCAGCATACAATACAACAAAGCAATTTCCACAAGATAGCATCTAGACTTCTGCAACAGGTTGCTAGCGATTCCTTTCCTCACCAATTGACTTGGACTTTGCAATTTGAGCTACACTCAAAAACAAGTTGCCATTGCCTGACACTGCTTTGTCAAGTGACTTTTAGGAAACTTTTTGGTCATTGCAGCATTTGACTTGAGGCTCTCTCTTACAGGCTTCAGCACAGTTATATTACAAGGGGTGGAGACCCTGCCACTACGGCCACCCAGAGCACAGACCCTGGTGGTTACAGCTCTCCTTCGGTGCTTACAATGCTCATCTTTTCCACGCAGCTTTTCTAAGGCAAATTGTTACAGTGAAGGCCATGAGGACTTTTTTTAGCTCCTTCAAGTGTTTCTGTAAAATAAAAAATGCCTCAGGACTCCCTGAGATATTCCAAACATGATTCCAAGTGAACAAGTGAGGAACTAGGGTGCCCCTCAATAGTTACAGCAAAAGGTCACCCAATAATCAGCTGGCGAAATGCAATTAAGAGCCAAAAGAATTTCACATTACAATATCTAGAAAGAGATGGAGGGTGTTCATTTACAGTAAATATCTCCAATAAGCCAACACACTTATCTCCTTCAATTTGATCATTTAAAATGACTTTGTAAGACTAATAGTAAACATCAAAATGCCCAACCCTGGATACTATAAATTATACAGCAAATACCACTGTGAGGCACCTAAGTGGAAATAGACTTCTGCAGTGCTGAGCAAACCCAGAAAGATCCCATCAACACCACTGCCTACTGAAGGTGCTCAGTACCACTCTTATTGAAGGAGAGGCCTTTTCTGTTTAGGCATCTAAACATGACTTTGCATGTCAAATTTCTGGCATCCATATTCAATAAGCATCGGCTTCTCTTCAAACAGCCTCTGTGGCCAAGAGGTAAATATAATTCCCAAAACTACAGCTTCAACCAAATTGTAATAGGAACAACCCAGATATCTGGGGAAGGGGGTGGAGGGAGGCATCAGCATTCAGGGATACGAGCACAAGACTATAACGTCCAAAAGCTAAGAGTCACAAACCGGACAGTAGGGACTAGGCAGCAATGCAGGTAGGAACTAGGCAAAGCAAATGAGGAATCAGACAGGAGCCTAACTAGGAAACCTAGAACAAAAAAATTCAAGAGCACTAGGCCCAACCAGAGGGGACTCTTATCTTAGTGAGATCACAGAGCACTGCAAGAGCTGCTACTTACATGCTGCAGACATACCCCATCACTTTAACTGGGGACAGCTGACAGTAGCCAGTCCCACCCAGGCAATCAGAGCCAACTGAAGGCTTAACAGTCTGCCTTTTTTTTTTTTTTTTTTTTACATAAGCCCAACTGTTATCAAGGTTGTTATTATGAATCAGGTTTCTGCATGGATTTCCACCATGAACAGGAATCTTGTTATACACTTAAGCATCTCACAACACGCACTTGCAATTTTGTGGTAAACAACATTCTCAAAATACTTGTTTTTACAGTAAAGCTAGGATACACAATATCCTATGTATATCCTATGCATATACTCTTTCAACACAAGGTCATCATAAGCATGTCCATTTTTCTTCCCACTTTATCTACACAGATGAAACTTACTATATTTCCCTTAGTTAGGTGTCCAGATCAAGTAAGGGAAAAGAGACACAGCAGACTGAGATACTACAATGAAGTTCTTCCTTGTGCAAAGACCAGGGAATTACAAGCAGATGGAGAACGCCAACACTCAGCATTCTGACATTTACAGAGTACACAGTGAGCGAGTCTGCACCCACCAGTATAACCCAGCGTTTTCTGTTCCTTCCTAGAGTTCACACATCTTCCATGCCACCAACTGGAAAAGCCTGTGGTGTGTCAACATGCACAACTGCTCCATTTTCTTTCAGAAGTCTTCTCTTGTCCAGGGATGCTGCAAATAATCATAAATACTGCCCAAAAGAGGCAATGCTGTGAGAAATGTACATGCCTCCTTTCCTCCTGAAACATTCCCAACACACTTTGCAGACCAAGGAGAGAAGAGGCAAATCAAGATGCTTCTTGAAAACAGTGGAAGTCTATGGAAAGGGAGGTCTAGAGAAGGTTGTGCCAAGTGCATGTATTATTCATGGACACCATTCAAATTGTGCCAAAGCAGCTAACCCTGCTCCCCATTTGAATAAGAAGCTGAGACTAGGAACAAAGACTTTTATAGAAGCTGTGTTTAAGGAAGCGGGGGAGTGATTTAGCAGGTTCTCTCTAATAAGTTTCTAAACCATTAATATTATTTGCTCATAGCCTTTGCTTTCAGACTTAGTGCACATAGGAATTTTGACTTCCATATTTCTTCCTGTTATTGGCTGGCTCATCGGAGACAGTCTCAAAGTGAAAGACCTCAGTGGAAAGCATATCTTGATAACTGGATGTGACAGTGAGTTTGGGCACTCACTGGCTCAGCAACTTGACAGAAAGGGATTTTGCATTATTGCTGCATGCCTAACAGAAAAAGGAAGCCAAGAACTGATAACCTACACATCCATCTCCTTGAGGACTGTGATACTGGACTTAACTGATTCCAGAAGCATCAACTATGTAGTGGCATCTGTCAAAGCAGAGACTGAGGGGCAGGGTAAGTGGTATACTGGCAGATCATAGGAATTGCTAAATATGTGCTTATAATATAGAAAACAGTTCTGCTAGTAACTTTCTGTGACACACCCTGAGCCAGGATTCAGTCAGATGTGCCATTGAAACACACTCCTGAGACATCCTCAGAACTTCTGGGCTGCCCTTCGGACACGGCCCCATCTCTCCTGAGATGCTCCAACGGTCACCTTCCTGACTGGTGGTGCCTCAGCTCTACCTGCCTCCCCCAGGTTTTGCCAGCTCTTAGCAGAGGGGAGTTTTCCAGCTAGAGGAATTACAGCTTTGTCCAGTCATATGCTCAGAGATTTTAGGTCCCCTCCTTCTGTAGAAGAGACCTGTATGGTGAAATGCTCTAAAATCACACTTACCTTTAACACTAAGTTAGTTATAAAAGATAAAAGAAATTAGTAACCATACATTGAGAGACATGCAGAGATATAAGAATCAACAAACAAAAGGAAATATCAGAACAATGATCTGCTCTTACTGTGGATCTTAAACCTGGGAATGAAGCTTCTACTCAGCTCAATAGATTAGAAAGCAGCTGCTACCTCTGACCTTCCTTTCAGAGTTCCTGCAAATTCTTCTGTCAGCCTATTTCACTCAGTCTAGTAGCCAAGGGACTAAAACACCTAATGCCCAAGAAACTCTAGACAAACACTTGCTGCTATAGCAAAGCTTCAGCATGGTTTCTTATCTGGCCATTTAAATACATTATCTATTGGATTCTTGAGGAGCCCATACTAGGCATATAGCATCCTGCCCCTTGGGCCCAAAGGCCAGGAAGTTGTATGCATAGTTTACTAGACCAGAAGATATGCATCTGTTTACCAGACCAGAAGTCTTTCCTGCTCGATTTATGACCAGAAAGTACTTACATCTTTTCAGACATATCCTTAGGACACTGTTTTCACTTCTCCAATTACGAGATTTATGAGATTCATAACTCTCCAGTTTTGAAGTTATGAGAATTATTATCCTTCCCTGAATATCCTAAGTAGTCAGGAATTGGTCTCACTACAGGAATCTTCTTTTAAAGTATAAATTTATCATTTGTCTGGAAAGGCCTGGCTCATGCCTCAGACCACATTCACAAGGATCTATTTGACTGGCCATTAAAAACACCCAATGTCGAACACTAATTTTCAGCAATTATTCCTCTCTGGTGCAAAACTCCTTGTTTAGAGTGTAACTCTCAAAAATTATTATATTATGCAATCCTGGCTCTACTATAACATATAAGAAATACATTTATATAAAATACCAGAATGCATCATTTGTATCATCATTAGGATGACAAGGCTAAATACAGCTTGAGCTACCTATCCATAAAAACTACACATGCCATATTATTTAAATTTGAAAAACATGCATGACATTCCACAATCATCTAAAAACACTGTGGGTTTATGACACCTCCCATAATTAGTGCAGAGGAATATTCCTTGTACTGATTAAGACTGTTCATACTTCAGATCTAGAGATCTATCTTAGGAGTTGATTTAGTACCTATCGCTGTATTTCCTATTACCCAAAATGCAGTTTCCACTGGGCTTCCCTCTCACAATCTGGGAACGGTTAAGTTTCACTGTAGCTAAAGAACATAGCTTGTAGGAACATTCATTGGAACCAATGAGAACACAACTAACCTTTTTTGGCCGTAAAAATTAGCCAGCCAATTAGAAATACCTAAGGGTAAGATCTTGCTTACTCTTCCTTTGGGAAAGGAAAGGGGTGGTTTTGTCAGTGTGAAAGAGTCAGTAAGAGTCATGTAAAGATCACACTGATTCTAACAGCCCAATGGCACTTGCCCACAGTCATTCTAACTGGGTTCCTATAGCTATTACTACAGGGGTGTTATTTCATGCTAGAGAACACTGCTGATACTGAGTGCATCAGTGAGCTCACTGATGTGACAGAGGTAAAGCACATGCTCCTCAGTACCCAGGAGGAGTGTGTCTAAAATATTATTTGACTGTTGCTATTGACAGAAAATAGGAAAAAGCCAGTTTGGGTTCCCAGACCACAGAATGTATTCTACTGTGACAAGGCTCTTCCTTTCTTAACCTCACATTAGCATTTGAAAGCAAACGCTGAGTGCAGGGTTGTTATTGTGCGTAGGACAAAGACAAAGAAGGAACAGAGCTTAGTATGTGCAGTTGAAGCAGACACCCAGAAAATAACGGCGCAGATCAGTGAGAACCAACAGCAAATGCACATGTTTTCCTAATAGGGTTTTCTCCCTTTATTATTATTAATTTATATTTTTATATAATTATTTGCTGACTTTTTAGTACATATATTATAAGGGTCAAGCTAAGTACTGCTCTGAGAGCATTGTGAAAGACAACCAAGGATGCCTCCCCTCAGGGACTTTGCTCCACCTGCCATTTGTGACAAGCACTCTGTTCTCAGCCCTGTCTTCATGGGAGAGGCAACTACAGCACTCACATGCCCCTTATCCTGTAGCCATCTCTGCCAAGGAATCAATCAGTGAATAAATAAGTCAGCTGCACTATTTTCTCCCTCTTGAAGTAGGCTGCCCTCAGCAGGATTCTGTAAACACGTTAATAATATGGCACTTGTGTATTACTGTTTATCTGTCATTCTCAAAGTCCTTTACAAAAACTAAATAAATATTTTAATGCCCATTTGACAGTTAAGGTAACAGAGATATGTTAGGTCAACATATTTAGAAATGACCATTGATATAATCCCAAATGAAATCATTTCTCCATGAACACTTTACCCGCTATTGGCTTAATATAATCTTTTGAGGTCTTAGGAAGGTGAAAGAAAGTTTGTCAGCTGTAATATATATTCAGGTATTTAGGAAAAACTATCCAGCTACATTCACCTTGTTAGACTGCAAAATTCCTTCTCTGGACTCTTTTTTTTTTGGGGGGATCTCAGTGTGAACTCTAGCATTCCATACCCACCAGCTATATCTCCAAACCCACTCATTGGTGTGATATTGCTGTACACTAGAAGCCATATTTTTGGAGTTCTCCTAGGGTTCATTGGTTTGGTAAACAATGCTGGAAGTCAACACCTGTGGTACCCACTGACTGGATGCAGATAGAAGATTCCCATACCATTCTTGATGTCAATCTGATGGGTCTAATTAAAATCACCCTGGAGTTTCTTTCACTTTTGAAAAAGGCCAAAGGAATAGCCAGTGTAATGGGCCGTGTGGCATTTTTAGGTAGTGGCTACTGCTTATCAAATTGAAGTGTGGAAGCCTTCGCTGACGTCTTACCATGAGGCCACATGATTTTGAATCTGGGACTGGATTCCAAATGCTTTAAACTTCACAGGTCTCAACATCTGAATTTGTGGTTCAAAACACAAGAGATTAAGGAAAATCTCTGAAATCCTGGATCTGATCCAAATTTTGGTTCCTTCCTTCAGAGCTTAGAAGTGGCCACATCTGGGAGAAGTAATTTGGAGCATAATTCCTTCCTTGTTCTCATTTCTGAACAGCAAAAGTCTTTTTGTATAAACACATAGGAGATGCAGCTTTGACTCCAATATTTAGGGTCAAAATCTGGCAAATTTAACACCTTAGATCCCCTGCTGTAGTAGCTCTAGTAAAAGGCAAAAAATGTATACGATCTGAAGAGAAACCAGAGTTATTACACTCCTAACTTAACAGTACCTAGTATACAGGGAAGGGCAGAAGTCTAGCCAGAAAAATCAGAAGAAAATTATGGTAGTGTTGAAGTGATATTGTAGGAATAATGGTCCAGGAAATATAGAAGAGGAAAGAGTTTTTGTGGGTGATATCTTTTATTGGGCCATCAGTGGTTACTGTGATATGCCAAAAAGCTTGTCTAAATCTAATCTCAACCATACAGTTGGGCCAATAAAAGATGCTCACCCACAAAAACTCTTGCCTCTAGAAGAAAATTATGTCACTAAAACTATTATCAAATCCACTATATTCAGAAACCATTCCAGTTACCTGGGACTTTACTGCTCTCTTGTCTTAAAAAAAACATCTGATGATAAATTAACAAAGAAACTGTCCTTTCGTTTATTCTGCTTTGCCATTTTTGAAAGGTTCAGTAGACTGCTCTTCACTTGCACATATAATTCCTTTTGATATGAATGCACTGGCAATTCCATCAGGCAATATATAATATTTAACTATATTTTATAACTGACTCAAGTTCTCTTCTTCATAATTTTTTACTATTTTCCTTTAAGGGTACCTGCAGGGATTTGCTCCCTGACTATTTCAAGATAAAATGATTGCTCTGTGGGTTATGAATAGCTTCAGCCAAACCTGTCTTGCTTCTAAGCTCTGCTGTTGCCAATTTTATCTTTGGACCATTTTTTCCTGCACTGACTGTCCATAATAATCTAAACCCAGGTGAGTCTCAGGAATAATTAGGCACCTTAGTCAAAGACACTTGAATACAACTCCTGTATATTAAGCTGAAAGGGAACAGATCCTCATTGAAGACAATAGCACATGCAACCACCAGAGGTATGATTCAGGAAGTTGAGATGCTTCTCAATAGGCAGGTATAATTTCTGTTGAAGCCAACTGGGAGCAATTGTGAACATTCATATAAAGGAGCATCTACTCCAGGGACCAAATTAACAGCTAGTGCAAATGAGTTCTATTCCACTGCATTCTTTGAAAAACACCTGCCTGAGCCAACTCTAAATTTGGCCTCCAGAGGATGCCCCAGGGGCAAAGATACAATTTTCATGATGATGAAGCTGCCTTGTAATTCAAAATATATATTCTAAACATCTGCTCTTTCCCATCATATTCCAGAAATTAAATTAACCTGCATCATAGGAACATTTAATTAATGAAACCTACAGAGCTTAGGCTTCTAATCAAGTCAAATAAATTTGTGCAGTTGTGTTTTGTTTTCAGATAGATATGGGAGTAGATTTGCTCTCTGTTCCCTAAGCAAACCCACATGGAAAAGACATTATCAAATCTGTTGCTGCATTCAAAGTTCCTTGTAACTAGATTGTCTGCTTCGTGTTGCAGTGGGTATTTTCCTGCAATAGGTTTTAGAAGAAAGCAATAATTTGGACGTTTGAGATATTTATTTTGGCATAACTAAAAATAACATGTCAATATTTGCCATTTAGATGTTCTAAAACTACAGGCTCTCACAATGGTATATTTAAAGAACACATAATTGTTGCAAGTTCTAGGATGAAAAAGAAATTTTATTTCCTTTCCAGGAGAGACATGCCCCATTTTGGAGTAGAAGTGAGCATTACTGAACCTGGCTTCTTTAAGACTGGTGTGACTAGCTTAGAGGTTATTGAAAGAGATCTATTATGACTTTGGAACCGACTGTCTTCAGAAGCCAGAGAATCCTATGGAAACACGTACTTTGTTAAGTGTAAGTACAAATACAAAATATAACATTTTTTGCATTTATTCATTTGTTTATATGTTGTCCTTGCCAACAAAGGCTCAGGGTGGCTTAACAATAATAGAACAAAATGTATAACATTAATGTTTTTACTGGGCTTTGTAACTCTAGTAATGGACAACCTTTGAAGTATACCTCTCCTCTCGGGTGAAGGACCCATTCTGTTGGTACATACCACAATGATGGAAGGGGGTTACTTGCTGTTATTTCTAGGACAGCCAGTGTCTGGGCCAGTTTACATACAACTCAAAGATATTTTTCTTTTAAACTTTTATGCCATCCTTGTGCAGGTGGTAAAGAAAGGTTTATACACATCCACCACATCATCTCCAAGGTTCTGATCAGCAGAACTGCCCCAAGAAGCGAGCAAATTTCTAGTTTTGTCTTTTATCACCATTAATACCTGCATGCTCCTTGACAGTAGGAAGTTTTAAAAATTCTTTAGCTTCCAGGATAGTCTACATTCAACCAGACAAGTCTTCATAATATATCCCTATGCCCCACATCACAGTGCCTTTTCTCTAGGAAGCATTTCCTGAGCTACTCCTGTGCTATACATGATTTCTAGACTTGTGTGAAGTGGCAAGTATTCGCTATGGATTTGGATCCGGCCGATTCAGAGAGCAGTGAATCGATTTGGAGATTTGAATCACTGTCCTGATTCGATTTGGATGAATCAGATCTGAAAGATTTGACACTGTTTTAGAGATTCAGCCATAGACTAAATAGGTAGCTGGCACAGCTGCCTCCAGCTAGTAAGTCTGGTGGGGTTGGAGGAAGGAAGGGTCATGGGGGAGGGATTGGGGCTGGGGCTGGGACAAGCTGTCCAGCTGGGGCGGGGGGCATGTTACTCGGGGAGGAGGGCAGGGGAGATGCAGGCACAGCAGTGCTCAGGGAGCTCTGCCCTGCAGCCACTTGCTCCCTTCCGCCCAGAAAGAGTAACATGCCCCCCTGCCCTGTCTGAGCAGCTTGTCCCAGCCCCAATCCCTTCCTCCCCCATGCCCCTTCCCTCTCCCCTTCCCCAACCCCAACAGACTTCCCAGCTGGAGGCAGCCGTGTCAGCTGCCTGTTTAGTCTATGGCCAAATCACTGAATTGGCCAAATCTTTTCCAAAGCTTTTCCAAATCAATTTGGATGCTTTGAATCGATTTGGAGCTTTGAGTATGTCTATGCAATCTGCAGCTACACCTTCGGCTACAGTGGGGACATATCTTTCTGTTGTTTTATTTGAGAGTATTGCGTGAACTTTCAGGGGCTTATTTGTCTCTCCTTGCAGATATTAGAGCACAAAGATTATCAATGAAAAGACTATGCGACTCAAATATTTCTAAAGTCATAACATGCATGGAACGTGCCTTGATAGCAAAATACCCAAGGACACACTATACAGCTGGATTGGAGGCAAAGTTATTTTGGCTGTCCCTCTCCTATGCACCAACCCTTATATCTGACACAATGTTTCACACTCCTGCACCTAGTAAGAAACCAGCCCACAGAGTTCCTATTGACATTTAATATAAAGCACACCGGGACCAAAGCTAGAGTGGTACAGTATTGGTTAGGCCTGTGCGAAGCAGCTAGTATTCACTTCGGATTCAGATTTGGCCAATTGGTTCTTTAAAAAAACAAAAGCCCTGCACTCACCTGATCCTGCTAGGCTGGGGGAGGGGGTGTCCCCGCTGATCCCCATTGCCATTCACTGCATGGGGGGCTCTGCCACAAGCCGCCAGAAGCCCCGATGGCTGCTGCAGCATCCGGTGAGTGTGGGGCTTTTTTTTTTTAAGCAGCGGGATGCTGGGGTTGGGCTGGGCAGTCATTGATGGGGCTGGAAGAACAGGCAGGTGTCAGGGGGTGCTCGGGGGGGTTGGGGGAGCAGGCAGGGGATAGGGCCTGGTGAGGGTCCCCCCATGGTGTCCCCCTTTCCCTCCCCCCACTCCCTACTTAGGCACAGAGTCTGAGTCCAGCTCCCTGCAGCAGCAAGTGGGGACTACCCAAATCTCCAAAGCTCTCTGAATCTTTTTCTGAATTTGGACCTTTTTATTGGTCTCCCAATTCAATTTCGATTTGGAGATTTGGCCGCTAAATCGGGCCAAATCTCCTCCGAATTGAATCAGCACCCGAAGCTTCACACAGCCCTATTGGTTATCCTCATCCAAACCAGCCATACTCTTCTTCACCTGTGACTGTTTTATTTCTCCTCAGGAAGCACTTTGATTTTTGTTGAATTTCAGAACTTGGAGATATTCTTCTAACTATGGAATATTTCTAAAAAGCTTCTCTTTGTCATATTCACCATGAATATAGTTGTATTACTTGTATATTGCAATACTTACCTGGAGAAAAGGTTAAGTAATATTCATCAGATTAAAACTTTTGGTTTTTGCTTGCTTAGTAAAGCATCTCTGAATCAGTTGTGCTGTATGCAAATCTATTCAGTGTTTAAAAATGGACCAAAGGACAGCTAATTGATTATTTGTGAATTATTTGATGTTGGCATTCAAGGTACAATATTGCTTATCCACTGTCTAAACACATTCCATCATGAAGTACTAAATCCATTTCCTATTGAATACAGCAATTTTACTGAATCAAACACATCATTTGCTAAGCTTCATAAACCTATGAACATGAAAGGGCTTGAACCCAATCAAATAAAAATCACACCCTAGCATTTGCAAATTTTCAAAACATTATAGTTCCAGTATTAAACAACATCCACCTGACAATTCAGCCATCATGTATCAGAGTAAAGATGATACGCAGGTGATTTTAAATGTATGTAACAGAATTGAGACATAGGCTGCTTACCGGCATAAAGAAAAAACAACAAAAAAACCCAGTATTTTACTTGAAACTTGGCACAACCCCACACCGAGCCCAGAAGAGGGATCGTGTTAGTTGGACCCAGCTCACCCAACATCTGTATAGACCTGGCACGTCAGTGGGACTTTTTTGATGCTTTTATCAGCTTTAGATAAAAGTGCCAAAAAGCCCTGCTGAAGCACCCAATCTATACAGATGTTGCAGAGCTGTGTTTAATTTGCATGCTGCCTCTTCCAGTAAAGCAGTTTTGTTTTTTTGCCACGTCTGTCAGCAGCCATAATTCAAAGCCAATGGGTATTGCACTACCAAACAAATAAGGCAATTTTTTAAATGTCAAAATATTCATTTTAGATCAGTATATTTGCATTCTGTTTGTCCTGAGCGACCATAAAATGGTTTGAAGTTTAAAATGATTTCACCCAGTAGCCATTTCTGAAGTGAAACAGATCAATTAGTCAATATAATACAGCTAATTTTGGAAGTATATGCTGCACAATATGGTAAAATGCCACTTGGAGCTAAATGCCTTTTATACACTATTGTTTTTCTCCCTGTTAAGTTCCTGGCCGGGGGCTGACGTTGTAGTGTGCCTGGTGTTCTGAAAATTGAAGGGGTAAAGGTTTTATTTACCAGAGATTTGTGTTGCTGATTAATCATTAATGTCCAGTTCAATTCGTTTACAAAAATATCATAGTGCAGGTCAAAATTTAAAATGAAAAAAAAAAAAGTTCATCATGACGTGGGTGTGTGTGTGTGTAACAGAGATGAATTGTAAAGCATTGCAGACAGATTCTACTTTCCAACATCTTCAGAGAAAGTAAATTCATTTTACATTAATGATAAATACTCACACTGTAATATTTTTGTCTGCCTGATTTGATAACATCACACGCAGTATATATCAGAGAAACTGATTCTACTTAGAGTGTTATTGTTTATTATCTCTGGAGCAGCAGATTATAAGGAGGTGTTGCAATCTTACTGATAGCAGACAGTATTCCAAACCTAAGATTCAGTCCAATGTTCACAAATGCAAGCAGGGATGGTGTTATAAAAGGGAAAAGAATCAGAAAAGAAAGCTGGTAATAAGAGGCTTACAACCCTACCATACTAGGTATTAGAGCTAAATTCCTAATCACTGACTTGGAGGGAAAAGAGGGAGACCTCTATTCTATATCTGTTACTGGGCAAGAGAAAAAGCACTGAATGTGATGCCTCGGAGTCTGTCTGCTACAAAACAAAAAGGAGATTTAACTGTGAGCTAATGTATACATTATACTCAGGGCAATCAACCAGATTCTCCATTTTATTTTGTCTCTGACCTTTTAAAAATATTTTGGAAAAGTATCTGTTACCCATATGAACACTGACTACAGGTTTACTAGTAAATTTTCAACGTGCCTGAAGTCTGGCTGCTTTGTTTGCAAAGTTTACCTTACAAAATGCATGCCTACATTTTTTGGGAGGGGTGCAACAAAATTTCTTTCTGTTTCAAAACAAATCAAATAAAAAAAATTGGGGAATAGATATTTTTTCCTCAAGAAAAGGAAGTGGCTTTCAAGTTCCACTACAAAGAATTGTCTGTTTTATCTTAAACTACTAGGAATTTCTTAAAGCACTGAGGCATGCTAGTTATCAAACTGATTTTTTTATCATTCAGGTCTATACTATATGGATGTTCATCAAATGTCAGATAAATTTCCTTTGTTTTCTGACCATGCACTAAGCAGTGTGCAAACCCTTAAAAGGATATTCTTCTGGATCCATCCCTTCTTTGGGAGCTCAAAAATCCTGGTCAGAAAGACTATAATAGAACATAGAAAAATGTTTACAAATCTGGAGCTGCATCCTGACAGTGTAAACTGATATAGGCTAGTTGAAGTCAAAGGAGCTATGCTGATTTACACAAATTACTAATCTGGCCACTGGTTTTTACAGAGAAAGGAATATATTGAGTGTATATATAAAGAAAAACATTAACTTCTAGTTCTCTAGGCAACTGATTATATAAGCTACATCTGTCTGTTCACACCTGTTTAAGGCTGTAACAGTTCTTGTGTACTGTATGGTACTATATTATTCTTTAAACAGTAAATACAAACAGTTATAGAAAATAGGTTAAATGATAGTGTTTTGTATGTTTTTTAATCAGTTATTGCAGCGTTCAAGGTCAAAGTCTACAATAAACAGCACACTCACACTAGGCTAAAATTGCACAGCTGATACACAAATAGAGTGAATTTTCTAGAACATGTTTTCATGCAAATCTGCAAAGCAACTAAAACTTACTTAAGACCACACAACCTTGGGATTCACAAATCACGGAGAATGAGTTAAACAGTATCATTTGGCCTGAGCAAAGTGAATGTGAGGACCCTGATTTTCAAAATGAATATAAAAGTTATGCCACTTACACCTATAATATCATTCCAGGCACAGCAAGACCCAGACATTTTTGGTGTGCATACACCCAAAGGAGCCAAAAAGTCCAATTCCATATTGGGCCAGGTATCCAACCAGCATTCTCCGAATAATAGAAATACTGAACAAAGCTTGACCCAGGAAGTAAGTAATATCAAAAGGATGGAAGTCAGAAAAAACATAATTGACTCTTACTGATATTTGCTTTCTCCATGGTGACTGGAGGCTTCCAATATATTACCTGAATTCTGACTATAAGACCACATGTGCTTGCTATATTGCTGTCCTGAGACCTCATTTTTTTTGCACCTAGATTAGTATATTGCTTCAATACATGTATATTGACCAACACTTTGAAATGCATTCCTTTTTGTTAGAATAATCATGAGATTATTATTAGATGGTAGAAAATTAAAGAGGATATTAGCAATATCACCTGCATATGTGAACATATTAACTTGCATGTGCTTTGTCCAAGGGAGTCTACCACTACTATCAGTGCTTTTAGAATGACATGCACTTTGACGATATGAACCAGTTTGGCTTATTGTGATTTACTGTTGTCAAGGAGAACTGCAGTCAGGAGAGTCAGGAACTTCCCACCTCCAACACAAGTCCTTGACACTGATTTCGTTCTCTGGTCTTCAAAAAGTAAAAACTCTTTACCTTAGTCCCAGTCTACATCTGTGAATGACACTATTTCCTACTTACAAGGCAATTATACATGTTAAATATATTAAATAGATATGATTTCATTTCATTGTTTACAACTGTGGAGTTCCTTCTTTACTGCTCACTATGAGTTCAGAATTAGGCTCAATGTACAAAGCTGTGAGGAATATTTTTATTAGTGTTTCTCTAAAGAACAGTTTGTTTTTTTCTCAGACTATACTGACATCAGCAAATTATGTCAGATTTATAGGTGGATAGATTCAATATATGGATTAAAATATGATAAAATAGTACATTTATTAGATTTACTCAGCAGCAGCACTTTCCAGTCATATTTTCTACTCAAAGTACATTTTGAAATAATTGCAACAAGCATTCTAAATAGACACAGCATATATTTTAAGAACTCAGGTATAAAACAATCAAATAGCAGAAGTCTCACTGTTTATAAATTTAGAAATCTGCCATTATGTGTAGCTAGCCAAGAATGTTAAATGACATATTATACATTCCTGCAGCAGTACTCAGACTTTCCTTAAATGGTTCATGTTATGGACACCTCACTGGCTTAATAGAAAAGCTAGCAAGATGCACAATACATTCTGAAAGAAAGATATGGAAATAACCAGATAACTACGAAGACTGCATCACTAAAAACTGTTTCCCTTTCTAGTAATGTCCACCTCAGGAAATAAATAGTCAACAAAATTAAAGTTTTACATGAAAAAGCTGTTTGTTTGTTTTTTAAAGGAAACAGCATTGTTTGTATTTTGCTGTACAGAATAAGATGTTTTAGAAATCTAGCTACTTTATTTAACAGTACAAAAGTATTTCAGAGACTCCAGCCAAGAACAAAACTATTTCATTGCTGATCAGTAGAAAAATTCATTAAATTAATTATGGAATTACTTCAAGCACTAAAATTTAAATACATAAAATCTTCCTATGAACACTGTTAATAGATTTTTTTAAAATTGGTACCTAAAGAGAAAGTACATATATTAAGATCAGGGGAAATTATTCTATATCAAACAGGCAAAACATTTAAGAACAATATTTTTAGCTAGTAGCATTTCAGCCAAAATTTCTGCACTGAATTTTCTATCTTTTGTTTAATTTGAAATATTCAGAATGGTAGAACAAGAAAGACCCATTTTTACATATACAGTTTTAAAAGGTGCTGTTATAAATATATGTTCTAAAAGTTTCTGTATATCAAGTAATGCTCCTATATTTATTTTCATTTTTTTAGTTCAATCATTTATATAATGAATTTTTCCCTAAATATGCAGTAACCAATTTAGTACTGATTTCTAATAGCAACTTCAAAAAAGATAATCTTTCAAAAATTTACAAATGTACAATATATTTATAACATTACTTTCAGACCACTCAGTGCAAAGATATACATATAGTACATCGTGATAATTGTTCATAAAAATAGTAGATGGCATTTGTCAAAAAAACAAGGCATAGTTTCAAGATACATTTCCAGCTATTAGCTAAACAGTGTATATATTTTTATAAAGCATCTGAATGTGAACCTCTTCTCAGTTTATAAAAAATATTTGTGCAAATGGATATGTCAATTCCCTAACTGATTAACTAATTATACAACAGAGTCCTCTTTAACAAGATTGGCCGTATCTTTAAACGTATCCTCTGTTGCTGTATAAGCTAAAGGTTGGTCTCTCTTGAGAATGATCTTAGGTGTTGAAGGAGAAGGGGGAGGGGCATTTTCAGTGTCTCCTCGTTGCTCCTTCTCCATCTGAAATGACAGCCATAAAAACAATTTATTATGGGCCAAAAGAAATGCTAAACACCTAAGGAGTCTTGAAGTCAGTGGGGCTTCTGGATACATTGCAATTACATAAGAGTTTTTACATAGAGCTTTTACATAAGAAAAACTCCTCAGAAGTATGCTGAGGTTGATTAGGGGTAACAAGGCTGATGAGGGTGAAGGGGTGCAGCCCACGGTGCTGAGCTGTCTGTGGTTCTAGTGTCCCAGAGGACTGTTGCTATTTAGGGTACATCTACACTGGCTCTAGACCAGTGAGGCTCAACCTCTAGCTCGCAGGCTGAATCCAACCCATGGCACTGTGTCATACAGCTATAGCCCATGGAGCTCCCCATGGGTCTAGAAAATAGGCAGCAGGGAAACAGGAGTAACGTTAATTGCCATAGCTCTGGAAAGTGTCTCTGGTTGCCATGGCAATTAATGCTGCCACTGTTTCCTTGTCAAATTTCCTGATCTCCAATGAGCCCCACAGGTTGGATGACATGGCCTTGTGTGCTGGACTGTACATGAGGACTGACCTTGTGCACCAACCCCATGGTGAATCTGACCCGAGGGGCTGAATGTGGCCACTTTTCTAGGCCACTTTTGAGGCTGCTACCAAAATAAGACCTGACAACCTGCTCCTGTTCTACATGCCCCAGATATGTCCTCCACCATTGTTCTGAAGTACGTGAGAGACTGAGACTGGGAGAGCAGGGACTGAGGATGCCTCAGAGTACCTCACTGCTACACTCCAGGTTTGGAGCATACCAAATAGAAGGGGATGGATGGGGCTTATTTTTCAAAGGCAGCCTCAAGATTGGTACAGAGCCAATGTAGAACTATTCTTAGGTGATCCATCAGGGAGGTCTAAATTATCCTAGGGATTTTCATAGATTCATAGATGTTAGGGTCGGAAGGGACCTCAATAGATCATCGAGTCCGACCCCCTGCATAAGCA